GTGTGTGTAGCATTGACTTTCAGATGCATTCCAATTGCTATTTGATTACGAAGTGTTCATTCTATTATAATCTTACGAAGAAAAAACTTTGTAAGATTTTAACAGTGCACCTATTAAACAAATGTGTGTGATGTGCTTGGTTGTCCGGTTCAAATCGAACGAATCCTGTTGTGAAAATAAGAAAGGGTAGGGTAATCGTTTAAAATCAAACTATGTTCGACCAAACTGCTTTGCTCCAGCTGAAGACCAGCTCTCGAAATTGGCTGGACAGGCCATCAACTCCTACGTCGAAACGTTCGAAACAAGTGGCATCACCCTTGCATCCGTGCTTCTGATGCTGGCCACGAACCCTGCGCAGCAGGAGAGGGTTCGCGCCGAGCTTAAGGAGAAGCTCAAGCCTGGGGAACCTCTGGAGCACGACGCTGTGGTGGGATTGCCGTTCCTTGAGCAGGTTGTGAATGGTGAGTTTGGCGACAGCTGACGTAACTTCCGCTTATCGCCGACTACCTGTACTAGGACGCTGCAATGTAAACAACCCTCCTGACGTTGTCCTTGCAGAGACCATGCGCCTGTTCCCGTTCTCCGACACCATGCGCAGGATGTGCACGAAGGCCACGACGCTGCGGTCGGCGGAGGGCCCAAGCGTGCTGGTAGAGGAGGGAACAGCCGTGTACATCCCCGTTGAGACGGTACACAGGGACCCCGCCTACTACTCGCATCCTGAAGACTTCTGGCCGGACCACTTCTCACCGGAGGAAAGTGAGGGCCGGCCAAAGAGCGTGTATCTTGGCTTTGGCGATGGCCCTCGGCAGTGCCCGGGTATGAAGTACGGCACCCTGCAGGTCAAGGTTGCCCTGGCGACCGTGCTCCAACGCTTTGAGGTGTTGCCGGGGGAAAAGCAGGTTCTTCCGGTGCAGCGCGACCCAATGGCTGGGCTCCTCAATTACAAGGGTGGAATTTGGCTAAAATTCCGAGCACTTGCTGAATAGGTTAACGTATAAAAAAAGTTACCCCGTTACAACCTCACGAAGCTCTTACTTCGTACTTACGAAGGATTTGGCATTTTGCTTTGTAGGGTTTTAACAGTGTAAAAACCAGAAATATTTGCGTCGATCTTCACTGGTAAAACAAGTGTTCATGTCATTGATGTTTTAGTTGAAGTGTTAGACTTGTTTCCAAAACAACTTTTTTCACAAATCGACCGGGACCGCTCGATTTCTTATTTCAAATAATTCAAAGTTTAACGTCCTTAAACAGTTTTGAGGTGAGACAACGCTAACCCGTGCCGCAAAGCAGTTCTGTTTTGTGTTTTCTCATTAACACTAGAACTACCCGGGTGGAAGGATCTGAAGACGAACTGCAGTCAGAACTCTAGTAATTTCATCATAGCAGTTAAACTGTAGTTAATCTGCAGTTTTTCCCGCTTTGTGGCCCTACGTCCGAAAAAAATGCAGTTAAACTATAGAAACCTATACTTAAACTTTAGTTTAACTACAGTTTAACTACAGTTTTCGACTATAGTACTGAGTGCGGATCTTTACATCCGGGTACCGGGATTTTCGTATACCTAGATCTAGCAGAGAGACCATTTTGACCCCTAGGTACTATTCCGCCGTTTTAGCTGTTATAAGACTGCGGTTTTGGGTACACGACTTCTTATTTCCGATCATTATGACGCTTGATTCAATTTTTGGACCCATGAGGGTGTCTTTGTGGAGGTAGGTACACTGGTACAACAAGCGTTTAATTTTGCACGTCAATTGACGTTCAAGTTCAAGTGTGCATTTTCTCGACACTTTGTGGTGTCTAACTATAATATACGTCAATTGGCGTTTAAACTTTCGACACTTCCGAAAGGTAAAGCAGCTGCACACCGTATGGTTCCCTACTGGCAGCATAGAACTGTGTGTGTCCAAGTGTGCATAATTTACAAAACGTACAAAGTTTGCACACCACGCAAACACGTTTGGTGTGCAAATATTGCACACTTGTTTTACCAGTGTAGGCAACCCACAAAGCAGAAAACGTAACTTTTCAGAAGTTTTACAGCTTTCTTCGCAATTTTTCGTTTAGTTTCGGGAAAATTGGATAGGATTACAATGAAATACAATAAGTCTTAATATTTTAGCATAGCCTGTGTTTATTTCAGTCTGACCAACAACCGTAAACACCGCCAAAAGGTAAGTGATTCTGAAACTTTGTTTCTGTAAATAAAACAGTATACAAATATCATGCAATATCAGTCATATTAGGCCATTCATTAATTTTTTTAACCTCCGTTTGACCATAGAACGCTTTTTCATGCCGACAGGACCGTTGAGAATGCCTCATATGTAATATATAAGAAACACGTGATTTTGTGATGTGCGATTGCTTATCTATGCTGACAGAGGTTCAAAATTGTCAAATGACCAACCGTAAGTCAAAAATTTCCACACAGAACAACAATGACAAGCTTCAGGTTAAAAACCGCTCGTTACAACTATCAAAACCCTCGAAAACTGATACAGGGATCAAAATGACCACTTCGGTAGAGCGAGGTATATGTTATTATGTCTTCGAAAGTTCTTGACGCAAATGCCTGATTTTTCGTGTTAGAGCGTATTTTGGTGACCCATAAAAAGTCAAAAAGTGGCGGGTGGCGGGTCGGAAGAGAAAAAATGATAGTTCGTTTTGGGAGTTCAAAATCAAAAGGGGTAATTTTGACCCCTCCGGTAGTTCTAGTGTTAAAACACGATATTACTAAAACAGCTGCCACTTTGTAACCCTTTGGCCGATTTTGATCTTCTTTGCATGGCAAGTTCGTTTTATACATTGGTAAATTCCTGCAAAGTCCCCCTGCTGTAGGTCTTATACTTAAGGAGATATAGCCATTCAAAGTTTAGGTCAATTTTAGACTTTTCCCACCCCAGGTGATTTGAATTCTATATGATTATATATTTAAACATGTGGTTTATATATGGGTTATATATCATAACATAAATTTATATGTCAATATATATAAAGACATATGGTACCACATGCAATCACATGTAGTGCCATATATGGCTACATGTGGGTCAATATATGGTTATATATTTACCAACATATGATATTATGTGGCCGCATGTGGTATCTTTGAACTGTATGTGGCTATATATGAGAGAATAGAAGCCACATGTCGCATTATATGCGACGATATATAATAATATTTTTATATATGTTTTCTTGTATGCTACGATATGTGACTATGTAAATTGAGTGACTTAACTACAACTCATATGTTACTTCATAAATTTCACATTTATGCCGTAACCCCGACTAAATATTATAACGATTACACCTGTATACTTGTGTCCAGCGGTTTACGCTGTGTGAGGTACTGATGGTTGTTCTACGAAATTTAC